TGTGTGTGTGTGTGTGTGTGTGTGTGTGTGTGGCCAGCTCAGCCCACCTGGGGGGCGGGGCTGGCTGGCATGTGGTGCTGGGGGATCGAACCGTGGTCCCTGTGCTTTGCCAAGCTTGTTCCAAGTAGGTGCTTTAGACCACTGAGCCATCTCGCCAGCCCTACAGGGAGTTATTGAGAGTGAATTCCTTAATCATTATCTTACAGGGTTTCTGGGGTAATAAGTTCTTTGCCGAAATAGCACTATGAAAGCACATCTGCAGAGAATAGTCGAGTTACCGTGATGGCCCCTGACAGTTCTGTAAACTACCACATCACACTGTGGAAGGGGCTCAGGATTTTCTGAGCTTCAATGTGGACCGTTAGAATGAGGAATAATGCTATGGATGAGATCTAAAGTTAATCTCATCTGGAAGTTTATGGATCCTTTAAGGAATAAGATGGTCACATCTGTGCAGGTGGTAAGGAGACTCAGACAGGGTTAGGGGTGGTATAGTCAGCATGCCAGCTAGGTCAGGCTGCCGGCACAGCAAGAACCTTGAACTGGCAGCTGAAGCAAAGGCCTTGTGCCTGGCCAGTCCTTGTTCTCAACACAAGTTTACATGTCTCACCACAATTTCTTACCTCCTCCTGGTCTCTAAACTGATAGACATTTGGCAGACTTAGCAAGGAATTGTAAATCAACCCCACTTCCCTAAAATAAGGGTTAGACATCACTGTGGCCTTTCCTTCAGGGAAGAGACAGTGGAGCAGACACACAAGAGCTTGTCCCATGGGTCTACTTTGAAATGGCATTGGTGCCAAGCTGATAGACATTACCAGGATGCTCAGTAAAAGTAATGGCTGTCACAAAGATTTTACAAAGAAATGAAGGGGCACAGAGCTTTCCTCTGTAACTATGTGCTCACATTTCAGAATAACTGTGAATTTTAAAAATTGAAAAGTGTTCCCATTACCTCTAAATAAGGACCTCAGTAGTGTGAAGATACTCAGTCTTTGCTATGTACCTGCCCTCCCCCTGCCCCCAGAATTGCAGGCAGGCTTCCAGGGCTGGTGTGGGACCCTGTGGTCGTGTTACCAACACCAGAAAGTTGCCCTCCAATGGCTCTGACTGGAGGAGGAAGACTGAGGAGAACAAGAGGGTATTGCATGGGAACATCAGAGGTTACATGGGAACATCAGAGGCATAGTCGGTACCAAGAAGTTAGAAGTTCTTGTGGTACTTGATTAATTTCAGAAACCATTCAGTGTGCTTTGCTTCAGAGAGAGCCATTCTCTGTAGAACTGTGCATCTACTGTCTGACTGTGTCTTAATGTTTGTTGGTGACTCACTCTTGGGGTGAATGACGTAGTATCTTGACCTCTCCAGCTTGCTATGGAGATAGTCCTATGTGAAGGTACCATAGAACCACGCATGTGAACAGTCAGGCTGGGCTAGGTGCCAGGTATGTCCAGACAGGACACCAAAGCTTGTCTAGCAGATGCTAGATCACTAATGATGAGTCCTGCAAGCCGCTATAAGCCAGAACAGTAAGCACCCAGTCTGAACCACATCCGAAGGGCAGTTCTCTTCTGTGCAGCTCTCTCTCAGGTCCTCACCTGTTACCAAGCATCCAGTGGGCCAGGCTTGTAAGGATCCAATGTCCTCAACCCACTAAGACATTGAACATCAGAGGTTGTGGGTAATTGCTCAGTGAAACTTTACTGTCTCAGGCCATCACAGCCTGTTGGCCCTTTCCTGTCTCCCTTCCAGTTCGTCGGGGGCACCAGTGTGGACAGGAAGGACTCAGGAAATACCATCAAGGGTGCTTTGGGAGAAAACTCCTCCCAGCCTTATTTCTACCCACCAGATGGTTTGCTCCTCACTCCCATCAGAGTTTGCAAAGTTGTGGCAGGGGAGCCCTCGGGACCCTTGGGTGGTGGCACTTGTGTAGTCATCCTTCCTTTACTCTCTCATTTGATAAGTATTTGTCAGTGACTTACTGTGCCCTAGGCACTGAGCTCAGGCAAGAAACTTAGCAAGCAACTCACCCTCACAGAGTCCTCAGTGGAAGGAGAAAGAAACAAGCGATCACCATACTGAGAAGGGAGAAGTGCCCCAAATGGAAAGAACAGAGTGCCACGAAGACACAGAGCATGGGCAGCACATCTCAGGGTGGGGATATGACAGGACTAGGGACCCAGTAGCCAATGACAAGTTGAAACTGAGGGGCAGGATGAGGCAGGGGGAGAGGACAGGTAGAGTATGGATCTGAGTGCCCTGGTCCTGATAAAATCTTAGTAGATGGGTATCTTGGGCATTGCTTCATTTCCCCCTTGTTCTATGTGTAGGTGTTTTTGAGTTGGCACTTTAGAAACACAGTTACTTATAGAATAATTAAACAGAGTTCTGAATATGCTAATACACCCAAAACTCTGACTTGCTTCTGGAGATCCAGAACACAAATCATGTCTGATGGTCCTGACTCAGTTGCAAAGGTTGAAGCCACCATGGGAAGGTATTTAGTGTCTATGGAAAGTTCTTAGGAATGTTCTACTGAAACCCTTGTGGAATGAGAATAGTGAGCTATGGGAGGAGGAAGAGAAGAGATCTGGGGTTCTCTGTGGATGATTCTGTTCTTCTTGCTCTCCCCCTCCCAACCCAGGTGATCATGGTAACAGGGGATCATCCCATCACAGCCAAGGCCATTGCCAAAGGTGTGGGCATCATCTCAAAAGGCAATGAGACAGCAGAGGACATTGCTGCCCGGCTTGGCATCCCTGTCAGCCAGGTCAATGCCAGGTAAGGTTCCCCAAAACCTCAGATCTATCGTTTTCCCCTCCATCCTCAGCCCACTCCACCCAAGTCCAGATTACTAAAGTTCTGGAATTCTCCTTTCATAGGTCAGATTACAGGGTATACATATTACAATTAAAATGTAAGAAGGGAATAACCAGCTAAATATGTAAGTAGGTTTTCAGAAGAAGCAGTAGGAGGAAAAAAGAAGTAAAGGAAAAATGGGGTGCAGGGGGAGAGAGAGTGAGAGAATTATGACTTTGGGGACAGCGCATGCTGGGGATGAGTAGGGAGACTGGGTTGAAAGAATAGGAACTTACAGTAAGGGTTGGTCAAGATATTGGCATGAGGAGCCTCAGAACCAGCCTTCTCACATTCTTTTCCTCAGGAATGCCAAAGCCATTGTGGTGCATGGCTCAGATTTAAAGGATATGGACTCAGAGCAGCTCAAACAGGTCCTCCAAAACCACACAGAGATTGTGTTTGCTCGGACTTCCCCTCAGCAGAAGCTCATCATTGTGGAGGGTTGTCAGAACCTGGTAAGACAGAGAGAGGAGCCCAGGGAACCTGGTGGAACTCACGTGGCAGAGCCCAGCCTCAAAACAAGCAGGGAAATGAGTGTGCTGAGGTACAGGGGACTCCAAACTCCAGACTCCAGGCAATATTTCACTTTGAACATCTATGGTGCCCTTTGATTTGGGAACTAAGAGTTGATATTATCTCATGGGAACAGGAAAAGGAGGAGCCAGGGTTCTTGCATCAACATATTTATAAGAAATAAGCTGATGAAAGGACCAGCCAAATAGCTCAGTGGATTAAAATGCCTGCAACAAGGTACAGGGGGGCTGGTGAGATGGCTCAGTGGTCTAAAGCACCTAGTTAGAACAAGTTCAGCAAAGCACAGGGACCACGGTTCAATCCCCCAGCACCACATGCCAGCCAGCCCCGCCCCCTGGTGGGCTGAGCTGACCACACACACACACACACACACACATAAATAAATAAAATTAAAAAAAAAATACAAGGTACAGGGGCCAGGGTTTCGATCTCTGGGCCTGCCGTACCGGCCCCGCCCCTGGGGCATACTGAGATGGCAATACTGGGCTTGGTGACACATGCCTGTAATCCCAGCTCTTGAGAGGCTGTAAACAGGTGGATCACTGCAAGGTGGATCTAGTAGTGAGATCCTAAAAACCCTGTAGACCCTTCCCTAAAATACAAAAAAAAAAAGAAAAGAAAGAAAAAAGAAATAAGCTGCTGAAATCGAACTGATCTTCAGGACTAGTCCTAAGTCTAACACGCTAATTTTTTTCACTCCTTTGTTTTCTGGACTTCACCAGGGAGCCATTGTGGCGGTGACAGGGGATGGGGTGAATGACTCCCCTGCGCTGAAGAAGGCTGACATCGGCATCGCCATGGGCATCACTGGCTCTGATGTCTCTAAGCAGGCAGCTGACATGATCCTCCTGGATGACAACTTCGCTTCCATTGTCACAGGCGTGGAGGAGGGTGAGGAGGCAGGGTGCCCAGGGCTAGGTCTTGCTCCTAACTGGGTTTGGGGGGTACATTACCCTCATCTCTCTTGCCTATCATCCAACCTCCGTGATCCTGTACAGATTTCAAAAAACAAAAAAAAAAATCATTGTAAGACAGAACCTTGCAGATTAGATTGAGCTGATACTTAGAACATCACTTTTTTTAAAATTTTTTAAAGAGTACAAAGTAGAATTAAAACAGAAAACATTACAAGTGATACAGATTTTCACTTAACAAAGTAATGTGAATTTCGCAGTATTTGTTGTAATGCATAGTGTTGTCTTCCAACCAGTTAGTCATATTATCAGATAGATGCATGTAAAATTTGAATAAGAGGAGCCGGGAGAGATGGCTTAGTGGAATAAGCACTTCCCTGGCAAGTTCAAGGGCCTGAGTTCAATCCCCGGTTCTGCCAGAAAAAAAAAAAAAAAAAAAAATTGAATAAGAAAAAAATATATAAGAAATGATGACAAAAAGGAGAAACAATTGAAAAAAGGAGATAAAACAAATTAAAGCATTAACTGCTCCTTTCCACAGACCCACAGAAATGCACAGTACAGTTGTCCAAACCATCCTGCTTACATAACTGGATAACTCTCCCCTACTCTCTTTCCTGTCCTTCTCCTCAACTCAGTAACTCTTTTGTTTTGAATGAGTTCATTCCCTTTTAGGGTGTCTATTGTACCCTTCAGATTCCATTTTTCTCTTTCAAGTTCTCATGCTAAGGAGACAATATGATGTCTGTACATGTGGGTCTGATTTATTTCACTTAAGAATATGTTCTCTAGTTGCATCCATTTACTGACAAAAGACTTAAATTTGTGCACATATATCACTGAGATATGAAGTTTTCAGTTCTTCTAGAAAAATACCCAAGAGGTGAATAGCTGGGTTGAATGAGATCTACAATCCTATGATTTCCATAGTAATTGACCAGTCTGCACTCTCACCAACAGTGCAAAAGGGTTCCTTTTTCTCCACAGCCTCTCCAGCATTTGTTATTAGCTAATTTCTTCTTCTTCTTCTTCTTCTTCTTCTTCTTCTTCTTCTTCTTCTTCTTCTTCTTCTTCTTCTTCTTCTTCTTCTTCTTCTTCTTCTTCTTC